AATTTCTTTAAATTTTTTAATCCCCCCCCCCCCAGTGAGTGATAATTTGAAAGTAATTTTCAATTTTAAAGGAATTAAAATTGTCTATGCAAAAATACCTACAAAATCAAATTTGGGTGGTCTGGTTATGAATTAATTTTTAAAATCCAAGACAAATTTAAAATTAATTCGCAACCAGACCATCCAAATTTGATTTTGTGAGTATTTCTATAAACAGAATTTTATGGTCTTTACAATAACGTGCCACGTTCGATGGGATGAGGGAAGGAGGGTGCATATTATAATTGTGGCTAGCTGAAGATACGGGGGAGAAACTAAGGTAAACCTTCCATTAAACTACATTCTAGTTATCTAAGGACGTGCTTTTGAAATTTTTGTTTTTATTAAAATTACAAATAATTCAATGTCCAATCCATCTTAAACTGTGTTGGATCTGCGCAAAAGTGCGTTTTCTGGAAATTTTAAAGGCCATATTTTGTCTTATGAATGATTAACGAACACTTCCTTTAATAATCTTATGCAATCGGATATTTCAAATGAAAGTTCGCGGAGGGACTGATTTTCTTGGTTGAAACTAATTGCGCGTTAAATTGGGGCAACATCATATCCGAAAAATTAATTTTTATTTGGCTACGTCTCGCCGTAGGAAAAAATTGAGAAAATGCATTCATTTCTACTTCGACTGCATGGGATCATGCATATTAACGTATGACAAGTATCCGGTTACCAAGCAAGCGTCGCACACCTGTGCCGTGTAAAATCGCGACCTGACACTATGTTTACATACCACGTACGAAAGAATTTTTTCACTTTCCGCAAATACAATTCCATTGTACCATTATTGCCATCGACCAGTCACCGGCTCTCCGATTTACAGCAAATCTCCACTGCGTCCAGTCATTTTTGTGCGTCATACAATGATAAGAACACTGTTTACGACCGAGACCAATTATTTTAAAGCATAAACACATCAATTACCAGGTTTTCCTTGCGATAGAATCGGAAACCTCCTCAAGAGTTAATTATCAATTAAATAGACAAAGGAAATCATATCGGACTTTTAAATAAAGTTTGATCTATGGGCAGCTGCGAAATACAATAAATATTTCAGTACGAGCGTTTCTTAAACAAAGATCACGCTTGTGTGTTGCAAGGGCAGAACCGTTTTTCAAAAGCCACTCTCGATTTTTCAATCTCTTTTGTTTATTAAGAAGACTGAGAGGCAACCGTTAAAAAATCTTGACTTAAAACAATTCGTTTGTCAACTCTTCAGACGCGTACTTGTATTAGTTAATTTATGACGTGGTAACCCCGCGTTTCTTCCCTCAATTATCACTAGGATATTGGGGTCTTTGTTTTCCTACGGTTTTGGGGTTCTTAAATTCGACGTTCCTTGTTTTATGCCATCAGTTGTAGTTCATTGTTAGTGTCGATGATCTTTTCTTTGTGTATGATCGCATTAGAATTAGTAATGGGGGTTTACAGTGTAGTTGAATTCCGCAGTTCTAATTTAATAAGCGTGTACCTGAAACCATAAAACATTTTTTTGGACAGTAAAAGTTTATTTAAAAATAGAGGCTGATTAGCAAAAAATAATGAACATGCGCGGTTTTAAAGGTTTATTCAAAACGATATGATTGTGGCGGGCTCTGTGACGTAATAAGCCCGACCAATCAGCTCCTAGAACCATTCAGATGACATAACGACTTGGCAATATTGCAGGAGAAATGGCATTTATAACTTGCGTCATCTGTCACAGGCACTTGTCACTTTCGTGCTAGATGCAGTTAAACATCCATCTCAAAACGTCAAATGTGACAAACGTCAGACCCTCGCGTAAGGTTGCCAGCTCACTTCTACGTGATTGGTTGTAGGTTTGTGACGTATTTAGTCTGAAGCGTTTCAAATTCGGACTAAAAACACAGCTTTTCAATAATTTATTTTGAGTTTATTTTACTCGCAAATAAAAATTGAGGACACACGGGTCTTTTTATTTTTAATGTACTTTGTGGATCAGAAATAAAAAATGAAGGCGGGATGAGCCCATTCAATAAGATACGAAGAATCTCATACAATTTTCAGTAGGGGAATTTTTTGCCACTTCGCTCGTATTCGGAAACCAGCCTTTTGATCCGACTCACATTCAATACCACTGATCCTTGAACTCGTAGAAATCGATTGGCGAAGGTTTGACATCGCTGCCTCTTTTCGTTCTCGATTAGATGAGGAACAGGCGGACAAAACCATCACATAAGGGTAAATTTTTTCTTTCGAAAAATTCTCCTAATAGTGGGCGGATATAAATTTTGTTGTGAGTCAGACAAGGTGAAGAAGAAACTGCAAATATTTTTAAATTATCTAGGCCCGAAGGTGTATATAACAAACGTGGTTTCATTGGCGGCCGTCGACGGCTCCAGCGAAACCGTACCTTTACATGTGTTTTAGATGATATTCATCACATAAAAGGTTCTACTTACGAGGAAATAGACTGCATGCTAATAGATTAGTAGTACCATTGTGTATTGGTAGTACGTTTAAATAGCTGGCCTGTGTGGCACAGTGGCGTGGAAGCTCGAGTGCGGACTAAGGGTTCCTGGTTAGAATCCGGATTCGGGGATAGATATTTTACGAGATATTTTATTTGTAAATGTATAGTGAGTTGGGTTGTTAGAGCAGCCCTTGGTTGAAAAGCCCCGCCGACTTAAAAATAAAGTCCAAAAATTTAAAAAAATAAAATAAATGCGAGTTTTTCAAGAAGTATATTAACTATCTCGGACATGTTGACGAATCTAGTCGGATTCCTACAAAATATTTCTTTAAAATTGTTACATACATTGCTGGTAATGAATATGTAATGGTGTGATCAAAACAATGTGATATTGAAGCTATCAGTAGAAAATGTTATCATTAATAGAAGGTACCATCCTTCAGAGTATGCACAATTTTCATGGCAAAGAATTCAAATCCATTATTTGGGACCATTCATGAACACATGGGTATCTCGTTATATGAGTCGAAGGAATGTCTCAGTTAACACAATTAAACCCCTTCGTCGAGAAATATTTGTGTCTGGTAATCACAGTTAATTGAAGTCAACGGAGTTCGAAATGAGCAAATGGAATTACCACAAGTATACAGCACCATATCATCCCGCTATGCGCTATCATTTCTCCCCATAAGCAAAATTAGGACATATGCATAAGCAGTTTTAATGGTACAATCGCTATAAACATTTTGAAAATAAGTAATACTTTTTTTTCACTACTAGCGTCTGAAGACATGATTATTAACCTTTTTTCCATTTGTAAAGTAGGCTTTCTCAGCAATTGTTCAAAGTGGTTAATAATGTGGACATTATTAACTACTAGTAGTCAATAATGAGAACTGTCACGCTGTCACTTTTAAAAAACACAACCCGAAATTTCGCTCAATAAACGTTTAGACAAGTTCTCTAAAATGAATAATTGCCACCATCCGCCATTTCCAGAGAAATTACATACCTAAAATTATCACATTTTGAAAAAAATCGAACGAAATTACTCTTTGAAAAATCTCAATGACAGAACAAAATACGGCCTGTTTGACTTGTACTTCCACGTACTTGATTGACATGTTAAATTAATAAACAAAAAATTCTGTCCAACCGTTCACTTTCTTATCAATATAATATGTTAATTTAGAGGACTTCAAGTGCTAGTAGTGAAAAAAAATAGTATATATACCACGGTAGAGAAGTCTATTATTGCCTTCGCACCTTACACCCCTCGGCGCAAGCGCCTCGAGATGTAATCTTGGTGCTCAGGCAATAATACGGTACTTCTCTACCTTGATATATAATGTACTATTATTCTTATTCATATAATTAATTAAAAAGTGAACAAGCACGTTTACATATTGTTTTATGCAATTTGTAATTCCGCTTGCTGATTATAAAATTGTTTAACTCGCACTGCAATATAAGTAGAAAAACACGCTTTTTGCCATTATAAGTATCACTAGAATGATTCGTACAGGCACAAATTAACTACATTTAGTTAATCTGTGGTGCAGGGAAAAGCGGAAAACTGTGTTCCGGTTCCGTCGGAAGAAAAGAAATGGTCCAAACTCAGGTCCAAAGTATCTTCAAATACCTTAACGGATCTGATATGACACATACGTATAATGAAACAACTAATTCTACCTGGCTTAAGAGGGCTAACTATAAAAAAGTTTAGATAATTTAAACCACCCAATGACTTAAGCATTGTAAATTCACTTGCTGCCAGAAATGGTGGCTGTTGGATTGTGTACCTCGAGGTGTACCTAGTTTCGACTCACAAAACATGTACTTAGTTAAAATCACCAAATGATAACATTTTCGTCGAATTCTCCACGTCATCACCTAGAATTGTACAGCTTCCAAATTTTGGGGGTTTTAAGGAAAGAAATAAAACCGAAATCATCCGGTACAGCTCAAGAAAATCTGCCCAAAAATCTGTAAAGGTTAGATGGTCATTGAAACATAAGATATAGGATAATTCGGGAATAAGCAAAGGAACTACGCCTTCTGGCTTGTACCAGTTTCACCGTATAAACTTTATTCTGCAGTACTCGAATTATTTATAT